ACTGGAGCTCAGCAGTTTCTCTTTGGAGTCTGGTCCTGAAGTTTTTTTTTGTCTGTAAGATGGCTACCTTTAGACACCTCACACATGAGGGCAGTATAAAATCTACATAGAACAGAATGTCCTGATACTCAGGCCTTGGCTACACTCGCGGATTCACAGTGCAGCACGCGTGTAGTTGTGCCGCCAGCGCTGCGAGAGCTCTCTCGCAGCGCTGCAAGTACTCCACCTCTCCGAGGGGAATAGCTTGCAGCGCTGCGAGTGAGCGTGCAACGCTGCAGGCGCTGATTACACTGGCGCTTTACAGCGCTGCGCTCAGGGGGGTGTTTTTTCACACCTCTGAGCGCAGCAAGTGCAGCGCTGTGAATTGCCAGTGTAGCCAAGGCCTAAGGACTGGATGCACAGGCAAAACTTGGCTCCTCCCCCATGAAAGGTGACTGCAGCCCTGGGCTGTCCCCCCCCCCCACTGCAAGACTTGGAGTCAGTGTCAGTCTCTCGGCTTTGCTCCAAGCCCAGCCAAACAACTTGACACGCCCCTGGTCCCTGCTCGTGCTTAGTCGTCCAGGCAGGAGCCCTGGGGAGCCCCCCTTAAGTGTTGTTGCAATTGTCTCTCTATAAAGGCTATTTAAACACTTCCCTTGTTTGTGATTTTATTGTGTGGGCGGCGAGGGGGGAGTTGCTGAGGAATCTTGCTGAAGACTGGGCCTAGTCCAGCAGCAGGGGCGGAGGACAGAGGAGGCACAGGGTTTGCTTAAGCAGAGGTTTGCTGCTCTGCAGGGCTCCATCATGAGTTGCAAGCTGAAGCAGAAACCTGGCTCCAGTGTGAGGTTGGAGCCCATGGCCTGGAACAGCGATTCGGGTTGTCCTTGCACGCCCTATCGCCTCTGCACAGGGGCTGGGCCATCTGACTACACACCACTTGCCATATAAACTGCCGTACTCCAGCAGCTTCTGGGCACAGGTCCCAAACTGTGTGTTAGTCTCTTGGTTTCTCAGCAAGCTGCAGGGTGGCTGCTGCTCCAGTTTGTCACTGCAGTCTGGGCTGCGAGGGCCCACGCGCAGCAGGAGGAGCACAGGCTTACAGCCTTGCCAGGTGCATGTCCCTGACCAGAAACATGGCGCTTGACGCAAACAAGCCTGAGCAACACCAAGGGAGACACTTTACTTAGGGGACACAGACACTGCCGTCAGAGCACCGGGGGAGCGGGGCGGTGTCTCTTGGGCCAGGAGCAGCAGCCCCCAAATACACCCCCTCCAATAGTGCTGCCCCATTCCGGGGGCACAGCCAGAGCCTAGCAGACAGGGTGGTGTGTTGATGCCTTTATCCTACACTCTTGCCAAAGGATGTGCCTGATTCTCACCAGCCCCTCACAGCACTCTGGGACACATGTCAGAGCAAAGGGACGGACCCCCAAGTTCTGGGGGTGGGCCGGGGTGAGGAGGGGAAATGGCTCGAGTGACAGGGAGGTGAGGCTCCCGTCTTATCTTTGGCTCATCTGAACGACTGGCAGCAGGGCTCGCTGTGGGCAGCTGCTGCCTGCTGGGCGCTATGGGAAGGAGTATCATGTATCTCCCCCAGCAGCACGGTGCTGTTAGTCCTGAAACCAGAGCCTGGGAGAGCCCAAACCCAGGGTACGTCTCCAGGGCAGTGAGGAGGTGTGAATTCTCAGCACGGGCAGAGCCGATGTGCGCTAGCTCAGTCCGAGCCAGCATGCTAAACACAGCAGCGTGGCTGTTGCAGCTCAGGCAGCCGCCCGAGGTAGAGACCAGTAGGTTGGGGGGGGCTTGGACGTGGGAAGCTAGCCCTAGCCATTGCCCATGCGTCAGCTGAGCGTGAGCCTGTCTGCGCTGGGAGTCACAGTGCCCGCTGCAGCACGGACATAGACCAGCAGCTCCCCCCCAGGGAGGCAGGCGGTTCTGGGGAGATTGATTCCACAGCTGGGGAGAGCCAACGGCTCATAACCAGGGACAGTGGGTCCTCTACATGGAGCGGAGGACGGGAAGAATCCCACCCTGAGCAGGTGCCAGGTTCTGTTCTCCAGCCCCAACTTCCCCGCTAGAGCTTGACCCCTGCCCGGTGAGGGAGCCTGGCCCCTGCTCCCATTGCTCCTGCGCGCTGCTGAGGAGCTGTGGGGCTCCTGCTCTCAACAGCCCGGGTTGCTTTTAACGGTACTTGGCCAAAGAGGGAATCTGCATTAACCCAGAAGTGCTGAAGGAAAAGGAAATGCTGCACACAGGCAGGAAGCAGCGCTTTGGCCCGAGCGAGGGCGCCACTTCCTTCAGGGACTTGGCTTTGCTCTGTGTCCAGTCAGGCCCAGCCAGCCCCCTGCAGCTAGATCTAAGGGGAAGCTACTTGCCATGCTGGGAGGAAGAGACAGGACAGGAGGCAACATTAATTCCTGCTGCACAGGCTGCCCTGTAACCTCACTGCCCCTGGCCAAGCCATGTTCACCACCCAACTTACAGCAGCCTGGGCGGGGCAGAGCCCCTGCAGGGCCTGGACCATCCAGCACCACTGGCAATACCACATGGCTTTCAGTGGCTAGAGGCTGGCTTTTCACACGGAAGTGAGCAGTACAGGTTGCCTCAGCCCAGCAGGGGTTGCAGACCCTTCCCCTGCAAGTCTCTGACATGGTCCAGCTGGGATTAAGGCACCAGAACTTGGTCTCTCTGTGGGGATGGTACAGCCTCACGTATACTCCGTCTTCCGGATGTAACTGGACGGCACGTAGCCCTGCCTCCCATGCACCTCAGCTAACCACCACTCTCGATTGCCTGTGATATCTTCAAACTGTAGGATCCTGAGTCTCTGATTGGCTGATACACTCAGCTCATTTGGACTTCGGCCTTTAAAGGTGTAGACAGCATAATAGACCTAGAGGGACAGGGGGAGAAAGTGGGTCAGAGCTGGGCCGGGCCTGAGGAACAACAGGCCAGGATCAACACTGTCATGCAGCTCTTTGTGTAGTGTGAGGATTACTCAGACACACTCCGAGAGACAGGCACAGCAAGGGGAAAGGACTATCTCCCAGGGTCATAAGGGCATAAAAACAGCCATCCTGGGTCAGCCCAAAGGTCCATCTAGCCCCTATCCTGTCTTCCAGCGGTGGCCAACGTCGGGTGCCCCAGAGGGAATGAACAGAACAGGTAATCATCAAGTGATCCATCCCCTGTCACCCATTCCCAGCTTCTGGCAAACCGAGACTAGGGACACCATCCCTGCCCATCCTGGCTAATAGCCATTGATGGACCTATCCTCCATGAATTTATCTAGTTCTTTTTTGAACCCTGTTATAGTCTTGGCCTTCACAACAACCTCTTGCAAAGAGTTCCACAGGTTGACTGAGCATCGTGTAAAGAAATACTTCCTTTTGTTTGTTTTAAACCTGCTGCCTACTAATTTCATTTGGTGACCCCTAGTTCTTCTGTTATGAGGAGTAAATAATGCTTTCTTAGTTAACTTCTCCACACCAGTTATGATTTTATAGACTTCTATCATACCCCCCCCTTAGTTGTCTCTTTTCCAAGCTGAAAAGGCCCAGTCTTATTAATCTCTTCTCATATGGAAGCTGTCCCATACCCCTAATAATTTTTGTTGCCCTTTTCTGTATGTTTTCCAATTTCAATATATCGTTTTTGAGATGGGAGTGACCAGATCGGCACGCAGTATTCAAGATGTGAGCACACCACGGATTTATATAGAGGCAATATGATATTTTCTGTCTTATTATCTATCCCTTTCTGAATGATTCCCAACATTCCATTAGTTTTTTTGACGGCCGCTGCACATGGAGTGGATGTTTTCAGAGAACTATCCACAATGACTCCAAGATCCCTTTCTTGAGTGGTAACAGCTACTTTAGGCCTCATCATTTTATATGTATACAGGGCTGGCTCCAGCTTTTCTGCTGCCCCACGCGGCAAAAAAAAAAAGACGAGCGGCAGCAGTTCGGCGGCAGCTCAACCGCGCCGCTTCTTCTGCGGCAGTTCGGTGGCGGGTCCCCACCCCCCCTTCCTCTTCGGTGGCAATTTGGCGCAGCTCAAAGGGGAAGAGAGAGGATGAGGGACCCGCCACTGAATTCCCGCTGAACATCGGACGTGCCGCCCCTTTGAATTGGCCGCCCCAAGCACCTGCTTGCTAAACTGGTGCCTGGAGCCGGCCCTGTATGTATATGTGGGATTATGTTTTGCAATGTGCATTACTTTGCATTTATCACCATTGAATTTAATCTCCCACTCTGTTGCCCAGTCACCCAGTTTTGTGAGATCCTTTTGTAACTCTTCGCAGTCTGCCTGGGACTTAACTATCCTGAGTAGTTTTGTATCATCTGCAAATTTTGCCACCTCACTGTTTACCCCTTTTTCCAGATCATTTATGAATATATTGAATAGGACTGGTCCCAGTACAGCCTGGGGTACACCACTATTTACCTCTCTCCATTCTGAAAACTGACCATTTATTCCTATCCTTTGTTTCCTGTCTTTTAGACAGTTACCGATCCCTGAGAGGACCTTCCCTCTTATACCATGATAGCTTACTTTGCTTAAGAG